GATAGATAGATAGATAGATAGATAGATAGATAGATAGATAGATAGATAGATAGATGGACTAATGAATGGATGGATGGATGGATGGATAAATGATGGATAGATAGATAAATGGATGGATGGATGGAAGGATGGATAAATGATGATAGATAGATAAATGGATGGATGGATGGATGGATAAATGATGGATAGATAGATAAATGGATGGATGGAAGGATGGATAAATGATGGATAGATAGATAAATGGATAGATGGATGGAAGGATGGATGATAGATGGATGGATGGATAAATGATGGATAGAATTATTGATTCAAGGATGGATAGATAAATGGATGAAAGGATAAAAGGATGGATGGATGGATAGATAGATGGATTAATGGTTTCCTGCATGAACAGATTTTTCATCAGCGTCCACAAATTTTAAGTCAGATTGTGGGCGGGGCTTTGGAAAGATGGTTCAAAAACCACTTCTGATGTTGGGGATCATGTTCCTGTTCGGCAAAAGGAGCAATAAATGCAGTAAAAGGCTAACTAAATGCTAGCTAAAAGTAGCAAAAAGCTATTTAACAGCTAAAAGAAGTAGAATGGTAGCTAAAAAGTTACAAGTAGCATACGCTAAATGTCACCAAAATCTAAGTAAAAGCTAAAGGAAGCAGAATTGTAGCTAAAATCTAAAAGTTGCAGAAGCTGCTTCTGCCTCATCTTTTAGTGTTTCAAGACTTTTTAAAAAGCTTTTAGCTGMTGTAGAATCTCTTCTGCTGTTAATTATACGGCTGGTGACAGATGCTACACAGACTTCGGCCTCTATATTTCTGTAATTCTGTATCTTCAGAACCCTTACTATCACTATACTTTATATTTCAGTGCTTCCTGTCACTCTGTGTGTGTTAACGAGGTAACTGAAGGTCGGATGGATTTTTATTTTCGCTGCCAACAAAAGGCGAGTTAAGTTGATGGAAACAGCAGGATCCTGTGTGGCAGCTGGGAAACGTATTGTTCCAAATCCAGAACCTCCAGTYTCAAACTGTCAGAGCGAACTCTGCGCCGCTGAGATCAGGAGCTTTGAGACGAATTAAATTTACCTCCTGAACGGTTTGAAACCTCAGCATGATGAGAAGACGCCACAAAAACAAATAAAAGTTTGTTTTTAGCAACAAGTTGTCTCAAAGTTCCACGTTTCTGCAAGATTTCTGAGAYACCATTAAGATGTTTCTGTTTGTATCATTTAGTTGTTATTAAACATGGATTAAATCTGTAAATCATCCCTTCACTCCGGATTATCTTCGGCTCTTTCTTCAGACACAAACCAGACTTGGCATGAATCTGTGCAGAACGACACAAACAGCTCTGCCTTTGACAGGACTTGGCAGGCGTCCGTGTTCTGCCTGACAAAAAATAAAAATTCAGATTTCAACACACAGCTAGAGTCAGAAGTTTACATACACCCATCAGAACCAGAAATGTCTTTAATCTGGAGCTCAGAACGGTTTAATTAAAGTGTTTTTTTTAATTAGTGATTCTAAAACAACCTGAAGGTTTTTTTTAAAAACCTGCCATGAACCGGTCCCTGCTGGGACACCAGAGTCCCGGTCCATCGTGAAGCCAGTTCTACCGTGGACTGAGATAGAAGCTCTAAAACTTTCAGCTGTCCGTGGGACAAAATGTCTTCTGGAGACAAGTTTGGGACATTTGGACGAGTCGAGCACAGTGGTGGCAGCGTCATGATGTGGACGTCCAGGATCTTTACCTTAAAACTGGACAGAGTTGGTTTCTGATTGGATAAATCATGCAAACGGGTTGCCCTAAGCCCCGCCCCCAACCTGACTGAAAAACTGAAAACCAACCAGTTTTCCTGAAGACAAAGAGGAATGGTCAAACATCAGCCAGAACCTTGAGGTGAGACCCTCAGAGGACCGGTCTACTCACACCAGCCGATGCAGATGAACATCCACTTGCGGAGTTTGTCGGTGGAGTAGGTGAGGACGATGGCGGTGTGGAGGTAACAACCTTCCCCAAACATCCAGAAGAAGTTGGTGGAGTGGAAGTAGTTGAAGGACGCCGTGACGAGACGGCACCAAATCTAAGAAACACAAACGATCACAGGGTTCGTTTCCAGCAGGGATGCCGAGAGGAGCCGAAGTTCGGCTGATAACGCTCACCACGTTGCTCTCGTGGACCTCGGGGCTCATGGTGAGCTGAACGATGAACCAGGTGGCGTTCCTCAGGATGAAGGCTGAGATCAGGTTCCAGTGGATGATGTTCCTCAGGCACCGGATGCTCCTGCAAGAAGAAAACATTCAGCTGCGAAAGAGTTTCTGCTGACTAGGGCTGCCACAAACGATTATTTTTATAGTCGACTAATCACCGATTATTTTTTTCAATTAGTCGACTAATCGGATCATACGCTAATTGAACATTAAACATACAGCTTATCGCACCAGAATGCAGCTGCTATTATATAACCATCGTTACATTTTAGCTATATGCTAACTAAAAATAATTGCTGTGGAAGGCAAGTTCTGCCTTGCAGATATAGGATTGCACAGGTTTTTCTTTCATTTTCTTAAAATGATCCCATAATTTTGAGCTCCGTTGTCAGGTAGCCATGATACCAGAGCCTGTCTGTATAATGTCTTGTGACGTCCACGCCCTACCCGAGTTACCACTACTGTGCATGTGTGTCAAGGACAGAAAAGCCGATGTGGCAGTGGAAGGTGTCAAAGCAGTTTGGAGAGACAAAGTAAAAAATAAAACGAAACAAAAAATGACTAATCAACAATTAAATTAGTCGTAGACTATTTTATTAGTCAATTAGTCGTCGACTAGTCGACTAATCATGGCAGCCCTACTGCTGACTTTAAACAAAAACTGAGAAAAATTATGAAAAAAAGGTGATTTTTTTTTTCATTTAATTTAACCAAATACAACCAATCCAGAAAGGGGTAGGGTGTCTTCTCCAGGTCAGGGAAGAGTTTAATTTTAAGTATCTCGGTGTCTTGTTCATGAATGAGAGAATACTGGAGCGGGAGACCGATAGGCCAAAGTGGCTGCGGAGAGGGAAGTCTGGGATTCTCTGCTTAGGCTCCTGCCACCGCAACCCGACCCTGGATAAGAGGAAGAGGATGGACGGACGGACAAATACAACCAAATATTCTCCATCRATGACTTAAAAGYTAAAATTTGCAAAACGCTACTTAAAACAGCAAAAGACTAGCTGAAAGCTAAAAGTATTAAAAACGCTAGCTAAAAATTAAAAAACAAAGAACTGCTAAAGAAAGCAAAAGTTCAGCTAAAAGCACCGAAAGATTTGTTAAAGTGTWACTAASCCCCTGYGAAAGGAGAACTCYGCYAYAAKGCAAATTTGAAAAATRSYAACAAAGTGGGCGGTGCCAKGAGACACTGAGGAGCATGGCCTAAAGCGTGGGGGGCGGGGGGTGARCGAGGAGGCGTGGCCAGGATGAGGGAACGAGACAGCTAGCTTAATTTGACAAGCTAACATTTCTGATTGTTTTTAAGAAATGAATGTATTTAGTAAACAGTAAAGTTTCATGACATACATGTAAACTCACATTTAACTGTTTCAAACTAACAGTTCAGGCAACAAACTCTTCGAATATAACTTGGTCCAAAACAGAACAGAGAGATTTTAATTTATTTATTTTTTCATTTCTGTTTGTACCACTGTTCAACCTATAGTCTGCAGCACTAAGATAGTTTTAGACCAAATATTGCAGATTTTAACAAATTTATACAAAAATGTCAAAATTAGCACAGACACATTTTAGACAGATTATCTGCAAAGACGTTGATTTTGGGGTTAGTTACTCTTTAAAACAATCAAATGCTAGCTAAAAGCAGCAAAATCTATCTAAAAACAGAAATGTGAGCTAAAAGCAGTAAAATGTGAGCTAAAAGCAGTAAAATGTGAGCTAAAAGCAGT